CTAAATTTAAACATGTTCACATTGGAGGTGAGGAGATTAAGGGGGGATATGATCTCCATGTACAAAATGTTCAATGGTGGCAGCAACATTAGCGATAAACTGTTTAAAATTAACTCCATTACAAAAACTAGAGGCCATCACCTAAAATTGGTGGAAAAAAAATTCCAGCACAAGGGGCGAAGGGGGTTCTTCACAGTAAGATCAGTTAGGGTCTGGAACTCACTGCCACAGGCGGTGATTTCAGCAAATAATGTGGAATTGTTCAAGAAACTTTTGGACGATTTCTTAAGGGACCGTAATATACAGGGGTACAGGTACTCCTAGAATGAGATCCTAATAGGTTGGACTTGATGGACTAATGTCTTTATTCAACCTCAAATACTATGGGTTATAATTCTACATTATCTTTATATGCGTACATTTATATGACAAGTAAAGAAAACAAATGTCTCCAACATCGTCAGAACCACAGACGTGATAAGGAAATAAGGTGGTCATGAATGAGACTGCAGTGTTTAGATTTAGGTCTTGTCCCTGTGTGTTTCCGACACCATTGGGTGCCCCCTGACTTTAGGGGTGATGGCGAATACAGCATTGAACGGCTCTGTACAACCTAGCAATGCATTTGACCTATGCTACAGTGCCCTAAATACTACAGTCTGCATCAAATGCTACAAGCTCCACCTGATATCCCACCCCCACCCGAACAAAGCATTGAAAACCTTCCAGCCCCCACCTCAACAAAGCGTTCCAAATCACACAGGCACTGGCATTGCTTCTGTATTCAAGATCTGCATCAACAAGGCCATGTCTATTAGATCTGTATTATAACGGAGACATCGCACACAGATTACTGTGACAATGATTAAAAAAAAAACACATTCACACTCAAGCTATGTCTTCATTTCAGATTATTTATCACTGTACAAAGGGAAGCAAACACTGGACAAGATACTAGGTAGCAAAGCTAATACAAATATGGTTTTACAAACTGTATGCCAAGCCTTGTATGGAAATGATGTTCTGAAACAAATCCTTGCCAAAACACAGGTAAAGTGACACTAAACGCAGGAGTTAAATCCTAAAAATACATTCAGGTACCTTAACTATTAACAAAAATGTATCTTATTTGTGTATCACTCGGCTGTAGATCCTCAAATCATCTCTGAATTGGTGCTGACACTGTCCTTCCTTTCTGGAGGGTGACTACTTTTGTTCCCCATGGTCCCTGTGTGTGTTGTAAAGTAGTCACCGCTCCAAGCTCACTCCCGTGATGAACTACAATCTCAGTACAAATTAGGAAAATAAATGTGAGATTGTAGTCCATCACAGGAGCGAGCTTGCCTACGTTTTCTACATACTATTTCACTGCTGTAGTATCAATACTGGTAATAAGTAGAGGTGCACCGAAATAGAAATTTAAAAACCGAAAAAGACAAAATTGTCAGGCCGAAACCGAAAATATTTATTTTTTCAAATTTTTTAAATATTTTATTTTTTAATTCATTTTTTATTAAATATTTTTACTTTACTGTTAGGGGCTTCAGGGGAATATTAGGGATCTAAACAGACCCCTGATAATTCCCTTTTAAAATAGAAAAAAAGATTGAGAACACAGAGTCCTCAATCTCTTTTTCTGTATCCCCTGTTATCAATGAACAGGAATCCTCTGTGAATGTTCCTGTTCATTGATAACATGAGAACATAGTAGGTTTACTATAACTACAACTATGAATGAACAGAATGGGATATAGATCACTTCCCATTCATTCATAATTGAGGATATAGTAACCATACCATGTCCTCAATTCTCTACAAACACTCAGATCACTGATCGCTGAGTGTCTGTACCCGCTCTCCTCTCTGACACACTGTCACAGGAAGCTGAGTGAGCGGTGCGAGAGGAGAGCCCAGCCTCCTGTGACAGAGCTGTCTCCGCCCCCACACCGCTCTGCCGCACTGATAGGCGGCCAAGCGGTGTGGGAGGAGAGACACCAGCCGCGTGAGCACTCTCCTCTCGCAGCACTCAGCTGGCTGTCACTTTCTCTCCTCCCCGATGGGACACAGAGCAGCGCCCAGCGGGAAGGAAAGAAATCACGGATGCGCCGATGTATTGGCAGGAAAATGGCACTTTCGGCATTCAGCCAAAAGTGCCATTTTTGGCCGATATGTTTCGGCGGCCGATATATAATCGGTGCATCCCTAGTAATAAGCAATTGATCCGGTCTATAGCAGGGGTAGGCAAACTCCGGTCATCCAGCTGTGGTGCAGTCACAAGTCCCATGACTCTGCCAACCACAGCCATGACTCCCAGAGGAAGATGCAAGATGGTCATCTGTAGTTTCACCACAGCAGGAGTGTGCCTATTCCTAGTCAATACTTTGGAAGAGCTCACCACTCTTCTTCTTTGTATGAGATTGTGTTGTATTTTCCAGCAGTTTCTCCAGTTTTGTTATAGGCATCAATTTCCAATTAAATGGGTTTTTTTTTTTTGATCACCTCGGATTAGGCCAATTCCCACCGGTAATGTTATTTGCTCTTTCTCCAGAGCGAGCAGCCCGTGGTAGAGTGAAAATTAACAGTACTCAATAGATAGTTGACAGAACAAGTGAAGTGACTGGATGTCTGCCATGGTGTGTCAGTCATGTGCACAAGACAAGCACAAGGAATGATTTTCAATTTGCTTTTTTGTTTTATGCATTCTACACAATTCTACAAGAACAAGGTTCATCCGCCACCAGACAGACCAGAATATTTGTGTTCCATTTGGTTCCCATATCGACCAGATTAATAAGTATAACTAAAGGCAAAACTCATATGTTTTGTACATTTGGATACAATGGTGAGGGGTTAGAACCAGTCAGGTTTTTTTATTGCTATCTATGTCCCCAGTAGGGAAATTCACCCTCCCCAATTGTCCTGATCGCCAATGTCACCAGGGATGAAAGGGAGGGGAAAAATTGAGTTGCCACCAGACAGGAGTAGCAGGGAAAGCTTCCAGTGGAGTTGCCACCAGACGGGAGTAGCAGGGAAAGCTTCCAGTGGGGACACTATGTGTCTGTGAAGGTTCTCCTTCATCCAGGTCATGGTAGATCTGTAAAAAATAAATCAAAGCAACTGTTGCAGCTACACTTGTTCCTGTGACAACTGTCTAAAGTGTTATTTCTCGCTCAGCCTGCTAAAGCTGGCCATACTACAGCAGAATTGTGTTAAAAAATTGACTTTTGGAACGTTCGTTCGATTTCCTAATAGTTAATGGGGCAAACTGACAATCAATTTCAACTGTAGTGACAAAAAAAATAAAAAGAATGGAGCAGGATGGAAAATTTTTCTCCACCAAATTAAATTTGAAACATTGAATGTAGTTTTTGTTTGGGAAACTTTATTCATTCCAAAATCGAATGAGATTTGGAATGACATTCTACACATCTCTGATGGCATTTTAGAATGTTTTATTGAGATTTTTTTCTAAAGGACGTTCATACAAAAATCTACCAGCGTGGATGGGGAATCTCTCCCGCCGGTCTATTGTATTCTGACAGCCAGCACCCACTAAACAGTGTGGATGGGGAATCTCCCCGACTGGTCTATTGTATTCTGACAGCCAGCACCCACTAAACAGTGTGGATGGGGAATCTCCCCGACTGGTCTATTGTATTCCGACAGCCAGCACCCACTAAACAGTGTGGATGGGGAATCTCCCCGACTGGTCTATTGTATTCTGACAGCCAGCACCCACTAAACAGCGTGGATGGGGAATCTCCCCGGCTGGTCTATTGTATTCTAACAGCCAGTGTCCACTAAACAGTGTGAATGGGGAATCTACCTGCCAGTCTATTGTATCCTGACAGCCCATGCCCACTTAACAGCGTGGGTGGGGAATCTCCCCTGCTGCTCTATTTAATTCTGACAGTCGGTGCCCACTAAACAGTGTGGATGGGGAATCTTCCCCGCTTGTCTATTGTATGCTGACAGCCAGTGCCTGCAGCTGTCAGAATACCTTAACAGTGACTGCAGCTGATTAGCTACAGTCACTGTTCAGCTCACAATTTTCAGCCCAGCTCCTTCAACAAAGAACAATTTAAAAACAAACTTTTGTTGGAGAGGAATACCAGCAGGGCCACCCATGGATTGGATTTGCCCCAGGGGCGTTCATCTTTCCCTAGCCACGAGTAACCATTCTACGTGTGCCTACATCTGAATGCCGCAGACAGCTGCGTCCACTGTCAGCCTGTCATTGGTTTGGACGGGCTGCAGCTCCCCGGAACCACCTTTGCAACCACAGCTGGACCCACATTGCAAAAAAATATTCTCTCACTTCCTGTAGAGCCTACAGAACAGGAAGAGAAGGAAAATATACCTGAGACACCGATGGCAAATAAAAACAGTGGATTTAACTTTTCCGACTCTATTCAAATTAAAAAGAAAGTTTTGACTTTAGATGTCCTTTAAGAAGGCAAACCCGTGCACTAGTTGGCACTTCGAAAACACATATAAATGGCAGAGTAATCACACGATATTGGCAAGGAATGAGATGTCAGTGCAATCAATAATAAAATATAAACAGCAATAAGAAGAAAAAAAAGCCAACTCCCATTAGAAGATGAGAGATGTTCTTAATGACATCGAACATAACTCATGAAAAGAATGATGATGACGATGTCAGCAGAGCTTTGCATTTTACACTCATTCTGCCAATGTATTCTACTATCCGAAACCCCAACACCAAGAGAAATCAAACGGTACATAGGAGATGAGTCAATGCCAGAAGCGGAGCTAGTGGATGTTCCCACATGAAAAGGAATTTTAATCGAGCCCACGATGACTCAGATGGAGAAGAGCCAACGTGTGGGACAGAGGATGTACACATACGTACGTCACAGGTAAGTACAAACTGACAATAGGGACACTGATTACTACCAGGCATCCTCACTAGGCAATGTGAGCACACAGCAAGACCTGCACACATATGACACAACACCTTCTCAAAGTATACGCACATTGTGCATCCCTCCTATTCCCAAGGCGACAGCTGGGCTCCAGGTCGGGAAGATCCCGGGAAAACTTCCGGTTCCGGAGCTCACGGGCACGGAGCAGACAGATCGGCGAGAGCCATATGACGCATGCGCGCCAAGCGCCAGCTACCGTATTTTGGCCCCGCCCACTGTGTTGCCGTGATGTGCTCACTGCGCATGCTCGTGTGTTCAGTCGCTTTCCACACAAACGGCTGTTTGTGGTGTAGTGTGCGGGGTATACCTTAGACGAGGCCCCGGAAGTCTGATTGTGTACACTGAAAAAAAACCAGAAAAAATAAAATGGTTTCTGTCATACTTTATATAAGTCTTACCAACCACTCTCGTCTTAAAGAAACTCAGATAAAGCTGGACGTTCACCAGTAACATTTTGTTTGAAAACATCGTTTTCAAAACATTTCATCGAGTCTCTAATATGGGGTCAAATCAATGATTCATTGTGACCATAGCAAGGGAAAAAAAAAATTAAAGGATCAGGATGGAAAATATATGCACTGTTAGATGATTGAACGAAAGTCCGTAGGAAAAGTCGTCAGACCTATTAATAATGACCTCAGAGACTTGACAAATGTCCTTCCAAATTTGATTTTTGTTTTGAATTGAGTTTCCCAAACGAAAAACCACATTCACTCTTAGAATTTCCCTTGAACAAGAAACATTTTCCAACTTGCTCCTTTGACTTTTCTCATCACTATGCTGGAAATCGATCATCAATTTGACCCCATTAACTAATAGAAAGTCAAACGAATGCTCCGAAAACAATTTCATTCATTTTGTTTGAAAAAATGTGTTGTATGCCCAGCTTAACAGTGAATGTGGTTTTCCATCAGGAAACTCCATTCATTCCAGAATAGAATGTTAGGCCTCATTCACACTAAGAGCCGGCCCATACAGATTCATGCGGTGTGCACGGCCATATCCGGCCGATCCTGGGAAGCACAGGTGCTGCGTGTGATTGTATGCAGCAGCCTGTTCTCTATGGGAGTACGCCGCCGTATGCTCACTTGAACGGCACATCCGTGCGGGTGTTGGTGCTTGGACGCAGGCAGGATCCATCCTGTCTGCGTACGAGTATGGACACCCGCACTCGCACGGATGTGCAGCACGGGTGAGCGTAAGGCCACATACTCCCATAGAGAAGAACAGGCTGCTGCGTACAATCACACGCAGCACCTGTCCTTCCCGGGAGCGGCCCGATACGGCCGTGCACGCCGCACGGATCTGTACTGGCGGCTCTTAGTAGTGTGAATGAGACCTTAAAATCAAAGAGAGTTTCAAACAACATTCATCAAGTCTCTAACGGCATTTTCCAATGTCCTGACCAAATTTTTCTTTTGAATGTTCACCTAAAAATCACCGAAAAAAATAAGGGCTACCCCCGCTCTGCAAGGGTTAAGTGCTCAGTTGTATCTTGGGGCAAAAACGGCAAAGTTATACTCACCCTAAGCCCCAAACCGGGCAGCTATCACAGTGCTCCCTCCAGCCAGTCTCCCCCTTCCTGCAGCATTGTAATGTTCCTCAGCTTCCTAACATCTATACTCTGTCCAGGGCTCAAAATTTCCACTCGCCAGCTCGCATTTGGCGAGTGGAAATAAAGAGAGGGCGAGTGGAAATTCAGTCAGGCACGCGGTCACGGATCGCGTACCTGACTATGAGAGCAGCCGCTTCTTGCCGTCCTGTCCTGGCTCCGTTACTTTCGATCGATCACCGGAGCTCTGACAGTTCTGAGCCCCGTTCGCAAGGATGGATTAGTAAGGTCTGCAGACCTTACTGCAGAGAACGGAGCTCAGAACTGCAGAGCTCCGGCCGAAAAGGAACGGAGCCAGGAAGGCCTGGCTAGTAGCTCAGGACTTGAAATTTTGAGCCCTGCTCCGTCTATAGATATAATGATTTACGGGACCTTAGACTGCTGCAGAGGAGGGGGAGAGAAGCTGGAAGGACTGGTCTAAGAGCAAACCAGCTCCAAGATTCAGATAAGTATAACTTTTTTTCCCTTTTAAACCGAGACAAAAACGAGCAGCTAACCCTTGAAGTGCGGCGGTAGCCCCACTGCAAGGGTTAATCAAAAATAATCCTGGGTTCTTCTTTACGTCTCTCTTCACACTTGTGCACCTGCATGTTCATGCATTTCTTTAGCATGTTTTTGCTGGGTCTTTTCATGCATTTGTGTTTTTGATTTGGCCAGTGACAGTGAAATAAAGTATAGGTTGCAAACATCAAGACACACCCTATATGGGTTTTTTAGGTATCAGCATAACAGTCACATGCTGAATGTATAAAGCAACATCATTAATATAATAATGCAATTAAAAGAATAATGTGCTTTTACATCATAAAACCAACGCATGATCCATGTATAATAACTTTTCATGAAATACATTTAGCGAGCGATGTGAAGTGAACCCTTAAATACTTCGGCTTCTTGCGTTAGGATGTCATTCCACTGTACTCCACCTGCATCTCAACGTGTTTTGCTTTTGCACTTCCTCAGAAACCACATGTATGTCTAGAATGTTTTTACAGATATTTGACAACTGGGGACTGCTGACTCTTGTAGTGCCCTCACACAGAGTCAGTCCCGGATATACACAGATAATATAGGACAATATAGGATGATATGGGAGGTCAATTTTAAATTAAAGGAGAACTATGGGGTAAGTGTTTTTCCCCATAGTTCTCTTAAGGGTCACGGGAGGGCATAAACTAGCGCCCTCCCGTGACCCAAAGCTACAGCTCGCGGTATACTGAGACTGCCGCATCTGGGACGGATCCCGACATTATTGTCGAGATCCACCCAGCTGCATGAGTGACAGCTGGCTCTGCCTATCTAGAGGCAGAACCAGCTGTACCCTCCCCCTCCCCCATCCGTTCCTCCAGTCAGTGCTGGAGGATAGAAGCGGGGAGGGGGGGGGGGAGATCCCTGCAGGGAGCCATGACTGACAGTCACCGTTCTCTGCAGGGAGATGGTCGAGAAGTGAGTGAGCGACGGTATGAAAACAAATGCAATCAGTGCAGGAGAAAGAACATGCTTCAGGAATTGTTTTCATGTATCAATTTATATTATTTATCTTTTTTTCTAATTATGCTTGTATTTATATTACTATATAGGGTATACAACGATCACCCATAACATTATGACCACTTGCCTAATATTTAATAGGTGTCCCTTTTGCTGACCCATTGAGACAAGGACTCCACTAGACCTCTGAAGGTATGCTGTGGCACCAAGTCTTCAGTAGCAGATCCTTTAAGTCCTGTAAGTTGTGAGGACGGGGCCTCCATGGATCGGACTTGATTTTCCAGCACATCCCACAGCTTATTGATTGGATTGAGATCTGTAGAATTTGTCCAAGTCAACACCTCAAACTCATTGTTGTGTTCCTCGTTGTTGTTGTGTTCCTTGAACCATTTTTGCAGTGTTGGCAGGGCGCATTATCCTGCTGAAAGAGGCCACTGCCATCATGGAAAACCGTTTCCATGAAGGGGTGTACTTGGTCAGCAACAATGTTTAGGTAGGTGGTACATGTTAAAGTAACATCCACATGAATGGTAGGACCCAACGTATCCCTGCGCAACATTCAGTATATAACAAAGCGCCAGCGGCTTACGTCCAAACAAGGAGAAAATCTGCAGTGATCTTAGTATGAACCGTGAATGAGGCAGGCTTTCAAATAGGCTTTAGGAAAACCTCAACTCTGGAAAACAAAACACAGAGAGCGCCTCCATCGCGTAAAAACATTTTAATAAAATAATTTAAACAGATGCAAACATACTCACAAGGATTGAGTTTAAAAAGGCATGAAACGGTAAAAGCATGAAAGGCTTAGCCCACCGGCTACTCTTCCTCCCTGATGGTTAACGTTTCCAAGGTCACGCCTCCTTCGCCAGAAGCCAATTGGTTCTGACGAAGGAGGCGTGACCTCGGAAACACCACCAACCATGCGAACATTGTACGATTGACCAAAGTTTTCAAACATGCTTGGCCGTCAAAAGTCGTATGATTGTACAGTATTATCGGTCGGGCACTACATTCACGCGTTACGATTGTCCTACGAAAAGTCGATCGCATACGATTATCGTACGATAATCGTAAGGTGTATGGGCACCTTTACACTTGTCCATTTTTTCTGCTTCCAACACATCAACTTCAAGGACAAAATATTTGCTTGCTGCCTAACATAACCCACCTACTTCCAGGTGCCATTGTAATCAGATAATCAATGTTATTCACTTCACATTACAGTGGTCATAATGTTATGGCTGATCCATGTATATGATATTATTTATATTATTACATTTTATAGGGAGTTTAATGGGAATGGTTTGGAAGAGGTAAAGAATTTTGGGTAGGACATTCATTTTTAGCAAAGCTGCTCTTCCAAACCATGAGAAGGTGTGTAGTCTCTAGGATTTTAGATCCTCCAGTACAGATTTAGAGTTGCAAAGTTGGAGTCATAAAGTCTGGTCAGGTCCGAAGTCAGTTTTATACCAAGATATTGTATGTGTTTTGAGCACCAGAGGAAGGGGAAGGATGATTGTGGGTGAGATTTGGTCTTGGGCGGTATGTTAAGGGGCATAATTTCAGATTTGGTGAAGTTTATCTTCAAGTGGGATAGTTTCCCGTATAGCTCAAAATTAGACATCAATTTCGGTAGAGAGGTTAGGGGGTCCGAGAGAAAGAATAGCAAGTCATCTGCGTATGCCATCGTTTTGTGAGTCATGGGGCCTACTGTAACCGTAGGAAATCTGGAAACTGTCAGATAGACATCCCATTGTCCTCCTGGAGTAGCACTATGGAGGCTGATTGTTTGTGTAAGTCTCCAAGGATTAAGGAGCGTTTTTCGGGTGCATTAAGGCCTTGAGAGAGACCACCTTCAGGTTGGACAAATCCCCCATAGTCTCAAGTTCGGGTGCGGGAGGGAGGGGTGTGGATGGGCAGATGTCAGGGTATGGTGAGAGGGGTTAAGGGGATAAAGGTGTAGGCAAGAGTAGACAAGTGGAGTTGGTGAGAAATGGGTGGGATGAAGAGGAGGAGAAAAGACAGACAGTAGGGTAGAACAATAGAGAACAAACCCCAAAGGTGTCCCCGTGTACGATATACGATGTGTCGTGTGGTAGTACCAA